GGGGGCGTACCTGGCTGGCTGGCACTTCCTAGGTGTAGAAATGGTACCTAAGAAAGGGGGCGTACCTGGCTGGCTGGCACTTCCTAGGTATAGAAATGGTACCTAAGAAAGGGGGCGTACCTGGCTGGCTGGCACTTCCTAGGTGTAGAAATGGTACCTAAGAATGGGGGCGTGGCTGGCTGGCACTTCCTACCAGTAGCTATAGAAGTGGATACCTGAGAAACACCTGGCTGGAATGAGAAACACCTGGCTGGCACTTTCTAACCGTAGGAATGGATGCCTGGGAATGGAGGCACCGCTGACTGGCTGGCACTTCCTAGCTGCAAAATAAAAAGGCTGCTCCTACAGACGTGACTAAGGTTATTGCCCCCTCCCCCATTATTACCTCCCCCTAGGTCTGGGGGATTCGTATTGGAGGGAGGGGAGACAGCTGAAAGCTCGCCCCCCACAGCCATGACAGTCGCTGCGGAGGGTCCCCGGTCGCGGCCAGAGCCAGGCCCGCCTCCCCTTCCCGGCTCCCAAATCCGGCCCTTGGCTCACCCAGCCTCGGAAGACACCGCGCCCCCTCAGCTCAACCACCAACTCTTCTCTTCTGCCCCAACCGGAAGTCCCAATGCTCAGAAGACACCTCACTTCCGCCCGGGACGTACCAAACGCGTCGGTGGACCCCTTCGTAATTTTTTCCCCCTCTTTCTCTCCCGCTGCTTCTTCTCCCTCTTTCGATTATCCCGGAAGCGTCTGGAAAGGATGGTTTTGAACAAAATATTTTCGAATTTCTCCCAGGTCCGTGGCCTTCTCCTCGCCTTCGCCCCCTCTCTAGCGCTGGCTAATGGTACGGCCCATAGAGGCTCCCGAGATGTTGTCCTCCCAAGCTGGACAGGCAAAAGTGGGTCCCGTGGCTCCCGCTGATTGGTCCAAAGTCTGGCCTCTCCTCCAATGGGAAAATGGCTGCCGAGTTTGGGCGATGGGGACGGAATAACTGTTGCTAGGCGAAAAAAAGGAGGGCTGGGAAGGCGGCGGGGAAGGCTGGGGTTCTGGGTTCGAATTCGCGAGAGGCTTGCGCGTGCGCCGGCGCACATTCTATCTGTAGCTTTCGTTTATGCTGGTGCAAACTCAGCATGGAAATACGACCGAGGAGTCAAGACGGAGAGAAGCAAGCCCAGTTACAAAAAATGCAATCTTGTGCATTAGTCAGCATTGATTTCCATCTTCCTCGTTGTGTTTATATCCATTTGCATTGCATTCTAATCTAGAACGTAGAATCATAAGGCTTGGAAGGGACCTAAGAGGTCTTCTAGTCCAACCCCCTGCTCAGGACAGGTGACCTTACACTATCCCACTCAAATGGTGGTCCAGTCTGTTTTTGAAAACCGCCAGGGATGGAGCTGCCACAACACCAGTAGCATTTAATAAAATAAATAAATACAATGAATAAATTAAAACCTTGAAATGCTTGGTGCTCTCTGGGTTATTGGCTTGCAGGCGTTTCATTAGCCCATCAGAGAGCATCAACAACCCAGAAACTTCCCAGAGCTGCAGATAATGCTCTCCTAAATAAGCCGTGCTTAAAAGTACAGGCAGTCCTTGACTTACAACAGTTTATTTTGTGATCAAAGTTGGAACATCACTGAAAAAAGTGATTTATGATCATTTTTTACACTTATGACCGTTGCAGCATCCCCAGAATCGTGTGATTTACATTCAGATGCTTGGCAACAGGTTCGTATTTAGATCAGATAATCTTTCTTGTCATTTTTTTTCCTGTGGGCACAATGGCACACATTAAAAATGAAATTTAGTTGCTTCCTCTCAAAGTGTACACATACATAACACACACATTTAAAACATACCATATACAACATATGTATATAGACCCACACCCTTACATATAAGTAACAAATATTTGATGGTTGTGGTTGCCTGGTAGCCCAAAACGCAAGAAGAGCAACACATTAGGAAAAACTTTAAAACGGGTCTTCAAACTTGGCCCTTTGATGACTTGTGGACTTCAACTCCCAGAATTCCTCAGCCAGGCACGCTGGCTGAGGAATTCTGGGAGTTGAAGTCCACAAGTCATACAAGGGCCAAGTTTGAAGACCCCTGCTTTAAAAGCTCCCTCGGCTTGGCAGCAAATCTCTTTTAAAACGAAGCACAATTTGGCATTTTAAAAAAAAAATAAACAACTTTTTTTAAAAATCCCAGCAAAGCAGCAACTGCGTCAGCTACGCTTGATTGACAGCTCGCCCAAAATACGGGGAGGGAGGGGGGACGAATGGTAAGAGAGAGGCTTATCCCAGTTATAACCCGCCTTCTCTTAGCAGGGATTGGTCCAGCCGGAGCGGCAGTCGAGCCTATAAACAGTGGCGCTGAGGGAAGTGGGCGAGGCTAGCGTTGCTCTTCGAGCCGCCCCGCCCACCCCTTTGCGCTTGTTCTTTGGGTGGTTGTCGCTCTGTTCAGGTGGGGGTAAAAGGGCGGGAAAATTTTGGCGGGAAAAGGCTTGGTGGGGAATGATGGAAGAAGCAGAAGCGCGGCCATTTTTCCCCTTTTTGGCGTCTCTCACATCCTCGACAGAGACTGCCATTAATCATTGCTCTTTTTGCATGAAACCCCCTTGGTTGAATACTCCCATTTGAGGGTGTGTGCGTGTGCAATTTGGAGCTCAACTTAACCCAGAAAACAGAGCAAAATAAGGGATCATTTAGGGGGTTTTTTCCCTCCCCCTAAACTCTGCAGTCCTGTCAGGATGGCAACAAAAACAGTCCCCAAAGGAAATTTACTTGCTATGGTTTATTCATAAGGGGGAGAAATGCATCTCAAAGGATGTTTTTATAACAAGGAAGGATTCAAGTGTTGCAAAACTGTATTTTGCATTTGTGGCATTTTTTTTTGTTAAGGGTCTAGCTCATAAAAAAAATGGGAGAGGAGAAAAAAAATGTCAGGGGTGCAGTTTGGAGCAGGTTTGAGGATTAGGAAATAATCTAAGTCCTGACAGGTTTAGTGTCTGGAAAAAGTATGAAAATGTATCTTTAAAATGACTATCTTCATGCAATACTTAATTCATATCTGCTGGTATTAGAAATGACAACGTGATAAAGTAAAATGTAAATTGTAATTGGGAATAACTTCAGATGGATCTTGCTTGGGCCCATTTAAGCCCAAGCATGAAACACTTATATGTGTGTGGGGGGGTTTTGTAACTATTTGCTCCATGTTTTATGGGATCCCTTCCATAATAGATCCTTTTTGTATTATAATTTGCATCATAAAAATATCTAATAAGCTCCAGGCAAAGTTTTGAATCTGTTCTAATTATTTCCAGTGGACAGCATGTTAAGGACTGCAGTTAGATGGGATTTCAAAGCTGTAATTCGAAACAAACTCAGTGAGAGTTGTTTTTGAATACTGTATTGCCGATGTGCTTTGAGTGAGGCTATAGAAATAATATTCCCCTTTCCTAGATATATCTGTAATAGGATTAGATTAGCCTGTACATGTAACCATTATGGTTAAGTCATGGTTTGTAGCCTATAGTGTTTGGTAAAGGCAGTTGAATAATTTGTGCCACAATTGAGGCAAATCCTTGCTTAGTGCAGTCTATATCCCATCATTTATTCATTATTTAATTAAATTTCTACACTGCCCGTCTTATTTAAGTGACTCTGGACAGTTTATATATATAACATACAGGGCTATACTTGTCTGCTTATGTGCAAAATTGGAAGTAGGGTTAATTCAGCACTGTTAACTTGGTTGTTTGTACAAACCCAAAATAGCTGTAATGTTGCTTTTGAGTCTTGAAATCTCCTTAAGTTGGCTATCCTTTTAACTAAAGCATTGCAGACAGACAGAACTTTATTTTGGCCATTGACCAATAAAGATACAGTCAATGAAATAAGCAACCTAAAACTATTCCCTAACAAGAAGAAATATTAGCAATCATTTGTGGGCAAAGCTTACACATAATCTAGCAAAATTTTGCTACTTCTAGAGAAATAAATTCATCTTGTTTATTTAGCAATGCAGATGAAAGCTATCGGGGTGCCCCAGAAATTTAAATAAAACAGGCAATTGACTGGTAACAAAGTCCCTGTAGAGCTGGAAACAGAGAACAACATGGACTGTAGTTGCTAGTAGGTTTTGTTGTTAGGGGACAGTTTTGTGGTGCTCATTTTATTAATTGCATTTTTATTGGTTAAAGACTTTGGTCTTTTATTGCATTTCAGTACACTATAAAGTTCTGTTTTGCCCCACCCAGTGCTTAGTGTACACAGTATTTATGGAATAATTGTATCTCTTCACTAGAAATATATGCATCTTGTGTTAAGCAAATAGTTGCCAAGGTATAGATGGCTATTTTGAGACTTTCCAATTTCTCTCCTCCTGGTGGGGGCATGGGGAAACAAAATAGGTAAAGCTGACGTTAGTAACTGGAGTGTAATTTAACTATTGTGCTAACTGAGTCTTGAAGGAGTTTAATGTGTTGGGAAGAAACGTTTTAAAAAACTTAATATGTAAAGTGGCTGCTTTTAAATTTGATGCATGAATGTGTTTCCCCTCCCAGGAAAAGGCCATTTTGGGGCCTCTACTATCAACCACTTCAAAGAAAAATGCGAGACAGTCATAGTACTTGTGTTCCTCGTGCAGTCACTGCTGTAGTGAAGCCAGGGAACGCACGACAACGCGGCACGCAGGGTGCTTTGGTTTCTGGTGGTTCAACACAGGGGCTTGAGAGGGAATTTCCCACAACAGCCTTGAAAATTTCGCGGCAGCCATTTTTCCTGCTACGCAGAGAAGAACAAGAAGCATTCTTCAATCTCCTAGGTCTAGTAGTTGTATCTCCTTGTGCTGCTCAGCCCTCCTTGGGGCAGAGATGCGCATCATTCAAAGCACAGCTAGCCTGCAGAAGAGACCCTTTGACTTAATCGATACACAACGTTTAACCATTGTGTTATTCACTAAATTCTGGCTTGGCAATTTTCTTTCTGGCAGCACAGTGCCTGATAAGATTGCAAATCTCGCCTTCAAATCTCTCTCCCCACCAAATTTAAAAAAAAATAAAAATGCAACCACACTATCTCACCTAAATGTCATGAGACTTAATGGAAGGACAGTTGGATCTTTAATTAAAACCGCAGAATGATTTCTAGGATCCAAAATGATTGCTGTCCAACCTCTGGTTTATGGCCTTGTGTGACGTGTTTTTTCAGTTAAATTGTGGATTACCTGATTTAAGACATCTGCACTTTGGAACAGCAAAATGTTCGATTTTAAGTCAATTACGAAAAGACAAAATGTTTTTAGAATAGGGTAGCTTTTGAATGGTCTTGCTAAAAGCTTTTATCTGTGAACGTACAGTCTATGTGAAATTATCAAAAATTAAGATTATATTTAAAAATATGTCCAGGAAAATGTTGGATTTCCTCTTTCCCATTCAAACATGGGGTAATGTAAGTTTTTTGAGGGGGGGCTAGTATAACAAATCTCTTTTAATGATTTCATCTTTTTTTTTCTGTTTTTCTAATTCTAAAGGTGTAAAAATGGCAAATTCTATAGTAACAGCATGTCATGGTCTTTCTCATTGTGCGTTATGATCAAGAGTTGGGTTTATGTAATAATATTTTTCAAATGCTGTAAGATGGCGTGAAATACTAGGAAGTCGTTTGTACTACCTGAACTTAAACTTTGTCTATAATAATGAATTATATAGCTTAAATGAGATCCCTCTACTTTATTTTCATCAGAAGATGGCTTGGTACAAAACTTCCTATCCATGGACACGTGTTACAGAATCTCAGATAAGGTATGTTTCATGCATTAACTCTTCTAGCATTAGAGCAATGTTATATTCTTGTCCATTTTAACTGACAATACTGCAAGGTTACTTTTCACATAAATAGACAGGATGTTTCAGAATAGGCTTTTATTTGTTTTCATAAAACTTAACAGCTGTTGTTAAAAAAACAAAACAATTTTTTAGCAGGCAGTGGATAAAATGACCTTTGCCTCCATTTTCCAGAGTATATTATTTTAGTGTCCAGAAAAATAGGTTATATTGGTTATCGCTTTATATACTCTGTCCCCCCCCCCAAATGCCATCCCACCTAAACAAATGCAGATAGTCCTCAACTTACAACCATTGATTTAGTAACTGTTGCAACGACGCTAAAAAAGTGCCTTATGACTGTATTTCACAGTTAAGTCTGTGGCAGCATCCCTATGGTCACATGATCAAAATTCAGATGCTTGGCAATTGACTCATATTTATGACTGTTGTAGTATCCCCTGGGTCATGTGATCATCTCTTGCGACCTTCCGACAAGCAAAGTCAATGGGAAAGCCAGATTCGCTTAACAACCGTGTTACTAACTTAACAACTGCAGTGATTTCCTTAGCAACTGTGGAAAGAAAGGTCTTAAAAGGGGGCAAAACTCATTGAACTGCCTCACTCAGCAACAGAAATTTTGGGCCCAGTTGTGTAAGTTGAGAACTACGCCTGTATATCAAGGAAAATGTATTACATTCTATTTTCTTTTTTAATTTGAAGTCTCCTCGTTTATTGTAATATATTGTGTCGATAGTTTTATAGCTGTACTGGTTATAGTTAAAAGCACATCAGAAATAAAATTTGTTCCTAAATTGGACTCCGGTAACCCAAAACTAGAGCCAATTGGTGTAATGGTAAATACATCAGGCTTAAAACTCAGAAGACCATGAGTTCTAGTCCTGCTCCAGGCATGAAGCCAGCTAACAATAGTGATATTGGTAGTATGGACTTAAATTCACAATGACAGCTCTTCCGTGTTTTGTGTTGGCACCAGGAGGCAGCATGGACCCAGCATGCTTAATTGTTTGCCTAACATCTGTGCTAAGCTACAGTGATAACGTTATTTAGCAACCCAAACTCAACCATTCAAGAGAAGATAATATGTTTTCCAACACACAGAGCTCCTGGTGCTATAAGTCAAAATGTGTTTGTTGGTTCTTTCTGTGACTTTTCTGTTCTTAGTGTATTTCCTTAATAAATGGAACAAAAAAACAGCCTACTAGGAAGGGCTTAGCTGGCAAGCTGCCACTTCCCTTTCCCTTTCAATAAAGCCTAATCTCCAAATCTACAGAGCCAATAATGGCTTTTCTAATAAAAGCAGGTGGTATTTTGGCTCTTTAGTTCTGCTTCTATGCATGTATTTGATGATTTCCTCTTCCCTGTCCCTATATTACAATTTTGGTCTTTGAAAATATTAAAGCTCACTTTTTCATTCAGTATCTTATCGCCATGACTATGATGTACTTTAAACGAGCCGGCCTCCATACCAAAGAATATACACGGATCAATCTCTTCATAGCTCTGTAAGTGATACGACGGTTATCTTTTGAGCTTCATGGTTGTCCTATAATTCTTCATTTGTTTTGCTTTAAAACTTCCAAGATTTTTTTTTCATGCTCAGGCCATTTAAAGATACTAACATATCTGGACAGAGTTTAGGGTTGGAGATGGCTAGTTTATTTAGAAAAAAAATCCCACCAAATTCAGAATTGACTTCACATTCTTGTTCAGAAATAATGCATAATCTATCATGGGATGATGCGGAGCAAATGATACACTGTAGAAGTGAAAAAGAAAACATTTGTATTATGTTGACATTTGAATTTTTTGGTACTCTAACATAAGAGGGTATCTGTAGCTCAGGGCTGAATTGTGGAAGCCTTGGTGCTCTCTGAGGTTGTTTGTTTGTTCATAGATGTTTCATTACTCAACTAGATAACATCTTTGCTAAAAGGAAGTGGGGTTTGCTTTCTGTTTAAATCTACCCTGTCAGCATAGGTGGGGATGTTATTTTCTCCTTGGTAGTTCCTTATTTAGGCTATTATTTGGAATCTCTCCTTGCTTTCTACTACTCCCAGTGGAAGATGGGCGATCCACTAAATTATTCCCATGCTGCTCCAAGCTGCCCTAACATCAGACTTCGTACTGTGACTATTAACTAGATTATAAAAAGTGATGTATTTCAAACTGAGAAAGTGTCTCAGCTTTTCTTGAGAAATTACGCAGTATTACGTCACTGAAGGAATCCCTGCTTCCCACATCTCTTTGTCTTAATTACAGGTACTTAGCCAATGACATGGAAGAAGACACAGAAGACTATAAATATGAAATCTTCCCCTGGGCCCTTGGCGAAAACTGGAGGAAGCTATTTCCAGATTTCTTAAAAATGAGAGATGGCTTTTGGGCTAAAATGAAGTACAGGGCGTTCGTTAGCCGGAGATGTTGTGATGAGGTCAGCTGCAGTTTGATCTGATTAAAACGGGTGGCTTGATGGAGGGAAGGGCAGAATTATTTCCCCTACTGAAAAAGGAACCCTACAGTAGATATTGACAGCGGGATGGGGGAGTGATGGAGGTAAATTGAGGGAAAGCAAGAAATAATGGAATGGATTTTAATGTGATGCATCGTATGCATATGGTGTGTCCAAAGCCACTCTTCTTGGGTTAGAAAAAAAAGTCACCTCCCTGATGTCCTGCAAAAACGATGGCCCAATATTCTCATTAAGTATAAACCAGCTTCCTTGTCTCTACAAGGCCTATACTAGTTATTATCAAGTGCTTTTGTAGTTGCCTAACAATGAAAAAAAATTTTTTTTCACAAGTCTGATTTTTAGCAGAGAGAGTTTGATGTAATAGTAAAGACACCAGGTTAAAGACTGGGAGACCAAGAGTTCTAGTCCTGTCGTAAGTACATAGGCAGCTGGGTGACCCTGGGCCAGTCATCCACTCCCAACCCCAGGAAGAAAGAGGCAACCCCTTGCCAAAAAACCCCAGGGGCATGTCCATGTTTAATACAAGTTTAATCAATAAAAATAGATGCCACGAAGAGAAAATAACCACCAAATTTAGTAAGATTTGTTGAGAAAAAGAGATGGGGTTCACACGAAAGTTCCTGCATGTGAAAGTTTGACCATGTGGACCAGTAAATTCCAGTGCATATTAAACCGAGAGAAAAAAAAAGATTTTTTTTCTAACTGCCTGCATGTAAGCAGCAAAGCAGCAGGTCTCTTCCCCTGAAAATGGAGATGTTTGTTTCTGATCTTGACATAACGGTCTCCTGAAACCAAACTCTTGTAATTATCAGGCTTCCTGTTATCTCTAGATAATGCTGAGAGACCCCTCACACTGGGCCTGGTCCCGTGAACGAGCGTCTCACCACAGCGGGGCGCTGAGGAGTTACCTGAAGAATGAAAACGACTTCTTCCCCAGAGGGCCTGGCGCTACACCCCCCATGTGCCTTCTCTGCGTTTGGGACGTGGAAGAAAAGGAGGCTCAGATCAGCCCCCCTGCCAATGACCTCTTGTCCTCGGAAGCGTTGAACGGAGATTTGGAAAGCTGTCCTTTCCTAATGTTGGATTCGGAGACTAACTACACCATGATGCAAAGTAAGTATCCTAATGTTGGATTCGGAGACTAACTACACTAAATACTAATCCTGCTCGATTCGACTTCAGGGGTGCTTTGAATGAAAAAAGCACTCTCTTGTTAATGCGTTCTTTTGAAATTTACATTTCGAAAAGAAAGAAAAATACATTCTTTTGAAATCTGTATTTCAAAAGGAATGAAATACACAGCTAGCCCTCGACTGACGACCTCCATTGAGCCCAGAATTTCTATTGCTAAGTGGGACATTTGTTACACAAATTTTGCTCCAGTTTACGACCTTTCCTGCCACAGTTGTTAAGTGAATCACTGCAGTTGTTAAGTCAGAAACACAGTTAAGTGAATTTAGTTTTCTTATTGACCTTGCTTGTCAGAAGATGATCACATAACGCCAGAACACTCCGTCATAAGTATGAGTCAGTTGCCAAGCATCTGAATTTTGATCCCGTGACTGTGGGGATGCTGCAACGGTCGTTAAGTGTGAAAAATGATGACAAGTCTGTTTTTCCAGTGCCGTTTTAATTTCGAATGGTTACTAAATGAACTCTTGTTAAGTCGAGGACTACCTGTATATTCTTTTGAAATCAATCTTACACATTTGGTTTAAACAGTAGGGCTAAAAGTTAGAAATAAGCCTGACACCCAATAAGCATGTTTTTTTTGGCTGATTTCCAAAGACAGAACGATCTGTTTAGGTTTGTGAATCTGATAACTAGATATCTAGTACATAACTGTTCTACCCACAAGATTATTCATTTCACAGTTATCTTCATTGTTTGTTCATCCACCCTAGAGTAAATTGAACTTGGCCTATTATCGCTGTGTTGAAGTTAACACTTAGTGTTGGGGCATTCAGAGGGATAAGCCTGTGCCAATGTTGTGATAAATTTCAGAGTGGTGAAACGAAGCTTACCATTTCTCCAATTCTCCGGGGTGCTTTTGGAAGCGTCACCGAAGTTTCTTCCAGCTCATAATAATTTGGCTTTTACTGGTCCTTGACTTACAACTGCAACTGAGACCAGCATTTCCATTGCTAAGCAAGGTGCCTGATTTTATGAGCGCTTTTTTTTTTGGCCAGGGTTGTTAAGGGAATCACTGTAGTTGTTAAGTGGAACATGCAGTTGTTAAGCGAATCTGACTACCGCCCCACATTGACTTTGCTTGTCGGAAGCCAGCTGGGAAAATCAGTTAAAAACACATGTTGGTTGCCAAGCACCCGAATTTTGATCATATGACCATGGGGATGCTGCAACTGTTGTAAATGTGAGGACCGGTTGCGAGTACCTTCTTCCAGTGCTGTTGTAACTTCAAATAGTCGCTAAATGAATTTCTGTAAGTCAAGGATTACCTCTAGATCAGGCAGATACTAGTGTATTCCTCAGAAGGAATTGAATTAGATGTCCTTTGGGGGAAGCCCAATTTATTTATGGATTTAGCGTACGGCATAGCATACATGGACTAGCAATATACCTATGTTAACTTTTCACCTAGCTTAGTAAACACAATAAAATAGAAATGTTAAAAAGTTCTATGTTCAAATACCAATGTCTAAGCCATCTAACAATTAAAGCACAGCATCGTTTAGCCCTTCCAGCATTAAGATTTTATAGGAGTAAATGCTAAATGAATGGTTGTAAGTTTAGGACTACCTGTACAGAGCAGAAAGAAATGGACTATTTCTTTACTAACACCAACTAAAATGGCATCAAAGAGTGATTCAAACCTTTGAATCTTCCCGAATTTATCATCCTGTTTAAGAATGCAGCATTCTCTTGCCCCACCCAATACAAGAATCTCATCATTCATCCTTTGATTACTTTTCAAGCCAAATACATGTAGCTGCTCACTGTACCCCCCCACCCCCCTCCCCGTGTAATTTTGACTGTTCTGCAGTGCTTTGGATTACTTTTGAAAGTGTGCTGGAACCACACTTTCTTGGTTAAGAAGCGGAGAGAAGTGAAAGTCTGATTTTAGGATCCGATGATTAGGATTATATGGAATTCTAGAAATTATTTATACCCCAGCTTTTATTTTACAAATAACTCAAGGCAGCGAACATATCCAACGTTAATTTTAGTTGAATTAGAGTTGAATGTTTTAATCTGTACCACAAGAAGTCGGGAGCCATTCTTTTCTCTTTCCTTTTTCTTTCGGTATTGCACTTTTATCTTGCTTCCCATCTGAGTTTCTTTTCATCTCTTTCATTTTGCTTCCTTTTTAGTCGTACTTTTGAAATTTAATAAAATATTTTAAAACTAAATTTCACTGAAACAGCAAGGGTCACGCAGCTGTAGTAGGGCTGTGTCCTCTACAATGTTGGAAAAGGATGCCGCTATTTTAACGAACCCCAGATAGGTGCTATGTTCATCCTTTTCAGTGTTCAACCTCCCAATACAATCTGAAGCATTGCACCGCCTGAATCTCAACATAAACCTTTGGTAGTCTTACAGGGACCCACCATGGAGACAGATGGAACAGAGAAAGTTTGGCAGTTCTTGGCATAACGGCTGATGGCTGAAGACCCCCCCTCTGCACACCAGATTTTTCCCCCATCGGAGTAATAGTATTCATGGATGTCCTTCCTCTTCCATCTACGGCAAACTATTTATAAGCACTTTACCTTCCTGTTCGTAGAGAGGACACTCAGCAATACTTAACATATTTGTATATATTAAAAACTATGAATTGTGACTTGTACAGTGCCAAAAGTGCGCCGGTTGGACAGACTCTTAATAAAGACATCTAGGAGTACAGGCTGGCAGGGATATATTTTCAAACTTTTTATGACATTTTACTCTGGTTCGTTCGTAGCACGTTTATTCGTAGAATTACAAGCCTTTTTTATTAAACTGCTGTTTTAGCCCAAAGGAATCTGGAATGATTTGCAGAGCCATTAAAAAGCGGCACTCCCTGCGCCCAGATATTCAGCCCAAGGGCAAAGAGAGAGGAAGAGAAAATGTGGGCAATTTCTAGTTTGCTGCTGGTGCAGTCCTTGCCATTGATGTTTTTGGTGGGAATTTTGGGGCGGCCCAGAGGAAAGTGAGAAGTGGGTGGGAGTTAAAACCATTTCTCTCTATTAGCGGTATCCTAATGCAATGGCTATTTATGAGGTTTCCAACTCATTTTTTTGTACCTCGTTGGCCCTTCAGCCAGCTAACGAAATATTAAAAACCTAGAGTCAAATAAATGGAAAGGCAGGGATAAAAATGGTAACGCACACCTTCCCGCTAACTATATTAATATAACAACACATGGGTCTGAAAATCCGAATGAGAAGACTTTTACTTGCTGGAAGTTTCTGAAACAGATAGCTGGCAAGGATATCCTGTTTTTATTTATCAAATTCAGAAACCACCCATCTGACTCTAACTCAGTGTTTCTCAACCTTGACAATTTTAAGGCATGTGGACTTCAACTCCCAGAATTCCACAGCCAGCATTCCTTCACTTTTCTTCTCCCCCATACAAATAAGCTTTCTTAGGAGCAAAACTGAAAGGTTAAAAAAAAAAACATTTTGGGGAAAAAGCTCTCTCTCTTTTTTTTTTTTAAGAATATGGTCTATCATCTAGGATTCTAGGCCCTAGCAACAATTTTAAATTGAGTAGAGAATGAATTGGAGCTGGGATAATAAGGCAGATTTCTCAGCCTTGGCATATCAGCTGGGTTTGCCCGGCGTTTGCATTGTAGCTAGCCTGTGTGCAAAGCCTGAACATTAAACCATGGCTAGCCATGGGCAAACATACTACAGAAAGCCAGGATACAACAAAAGTCCACGTTCTAACAGCTGGGTAGTCTCGGTTACTTTGCCCCAGCCTCAACCACTTTAAAAGTATCTTTTCTTTCTCCCCTCAATGTATACCAAAGGAGAAGCCACCATCAAGATGGTGGTCCCGACAATGGTGGTCTGAATCCAGACAGCGGCATATTAACTAGGGTCACAGACTAGTTTGATTCAGTGATGAAACCAGGAAGCTAGAAATAGGAAGATTGTGAGTTCTTGTTCCATTTTTGGTCATGGAATCACCAGGAGATGGTGAGTTCTAGTCCTGCCTTAGGCATGAAAGCTGGCTAGGTGACTGGGCCAATCACCTGGTGAATTCTAGTCCTGCCTTAGGCACGAAAGCTGGCTAGATGACTGAGCCAGTCACCAGGAGATGGTGAGTTCTAGTCCTGCCTTAGGCACGAAAGCTGCCCACGTGACTGGGCAATCACCGGGTGAATTCTAGTCCTGCCTTAGGCATGAAAACTGCCTAGGTGACTGGGCCAGTCACCAGGAGATGGTGAGTTCTAGTCCTGCCTTAGGCATGAAAACTGCCTAGGTGACTGGGCCAGTCACCAGGAGATGGTGAGTTCTAGTCCTGCCTTAGGCACGAAAGCTGGCTAGGTGACTGGGCAATCACCGGGTGAATTCTAGTCCTGCCTTAGGCATGAAAACTGCCTAGGTGACTGGGCCAGTCACCTGGTGAATCCTAGTCCTGCCTTAGGCACGAAAGCTGGCTAGATGACTGAGCCAGTCACCAGGAGATGGTGAGTTCTAGTCCTGCCTTAGGCACGAAAGCTGCCTAGGTGACTGGGCCAATCACCGGGTGCCCCTGCTCGGAAAAAAAAACTGGAACTTTGATACCGAGACCTGCCTAAGCCAGACCTGTGTACTCCACACTAATAATTGACCGATTTGCTGGGAGGGAGCAATGGGCACTGTAGTCGCACCCCGCTGGGCACAGTTTCTAACCTTGGCCGGGTTCCTAACCGCAGCCAGGCTGAAACGCAGCCGGTCTAGCTTCGCGGCGCTCTCTATTCGCGCGCTAGGCGAAGGTCAAAAAAATTGGGAAACCCGCCGTTTTGGCTTAGCGGGCTGCACCTCTCCGCTAATCCGGCCGCTCTGGAGATGGCGCGTTAGCAGGTCCGCACACACACACACACACCCGTGCGCTTTTTCCCCGAAAGAAACGAAAACCGGCTTTGCGCTCCGGGGCGCCGCCGGCTCTCTCGGGCGCGGCTC